TCACTTTTTAGATTTTTTATACAGATATCAAAAAGCGAAGAGAATCTGCTCCTTTGTTACACAGTACAGAGAAGGGTTGGAGAAGCAGAGTTATCATTAGACCTGATCCTAGACAAGAAAATGGTATATTTTTCTAATTATTTATAGGTTTTTGCAATCCCTCAGAAGTATAAATGTTGTTACTTTCTATTTCTATACCATGTTCAGAGACTTGTCCTTTGATTCTACTACAATTTTGGTTGCTACTACGAGCGCAACCAAATGAAACAATCCTTTGAAAAACAGAATATTAAAACCTGTTAATCTTGCGTTCATAGATGCCTCGGTACGTTACCGCTGCTCTTTTTTGAGCAGGTATTAGTGTAAAGTAGTGAGCATTGAATTGTTATGTTATATTTAGTATAGGCATTGGTCTAATTTTTTGTAGTTTCAAAAGATATGCTCTAAGTTTGAAGTCACTATAACTATATTCTTGCTGTGAACAAGGCCTTTTTTTACCACTGATAGCAGCAACGTTCGAAATACTCGTTTGTGCAGGTTTTGGCCTAACTTACAAAGTCAGGTAGAACCACCAGGGCTACATATGTGACTTTTATGTGGATGTGGTGAAATGTGAAATTATGTGACTACACATAAAGATATATGAAAGCTAGAATTTGGGAAAAGTGAATCGTAAAATGGAGAGCTCGAGAAACAGACACCCTGGGCGCTGACATTTTAACATTTTTTTCCTATTGCCCTATTTGCTCTGTGACCATTAGACCATGCAAGGACTCGTGTCCTATATAAAGACCATTGCCACTAGCTGTGTACTCTGTCTGGCACCTTTTCTGTCAACCAAAATCATTCCGCACCAATTTTCGGATAAGTGCAATTCTATATTGTTCACATTACTTCACATTTTCGGACAAACTTGACACTAACGATTTACGATTATTTCTGTAGTCACATTATATTACGCTATTTCCAGTTTTTCCAGTCAAATTCACATAAATGTCACATTTATAGTAAGTCACATTTATACACCTGTTATGTGGCACGGTGGGTTAGTTGTTTTCGAAGGCGAAACTTGCGTCCCTTGTGCGGGAGTTGGTCTTCAAAGACAGCATCAAATAATGACAAATTGGCTAGGCTGTATCCAATTGTATAGGCGGTGACCAAAGGTAACTGTCCAATTTGACATTGTCTTTGTAGCCAGTCTAGAAAGATCTGCTTGCAGATTAGGGTTGCAGGCGTATAGTGGTACACAACGTTTTTGGCGCAAGGGTATATAGTCTTTTAGTCCTTTACAACGCCCCCTTTTCTGTCAACTAGTACGCACAACTTTACAGCATCAATTGAAAGTTTATTGCAAATGCATGACCGAGGGCTAATTGCAAATACATGCACAAACAACATATATGAAAAGTGAGATACAAATATAGAGAGACTGTGTCCTACGCTATACTACATTCTACAACATGAGTGGTACTAGATTTGTTGGGCTTGACTTCTTCTTTTGAGGCAATGGGAGACGAATTTACCCACTTCTTCTGTGATATGTGGGTTCTTTGATTTTAGTGATAAAGTTGTTTTCTCTTGGTTAGGAATAGAGGGAAAGTAAGGGTGCATTTTGGACACAATGGTAAATAGTTGGTTTCTAATATCATTATAAAGTGAACAATTAGAGATGAAATGATATTCGTCTTCCACTGCATTTGAGGAGCAATATTTACAAATCATCTCCGACACGGGTAGTTTCAAATATCGTCCTTTTTCGATTTCCAAGGGATGGACGCTTATTCTAACCTTGCTGATAGCTGAGCGCTGCTCTAAGTCACAAAGTTCGAGATATTTTCTTAACAATACCCGGTTTTACATTTTCTATAAAATCTCAGCTTGCCGGTATCAGCAGATAGACAATGGAGGCATGTATATATCTGATAGCCTTGTTCGTAATAACTTACACATATGTTGAGGGTCACAGGTTGTGCTATCTATATACAATAGGTAGGAATATCCACAGTGGTCGAGGATCTCCTTCACTCTCTGTAATAAAGTGCGACTATTTGTCTTGGAACTACGTTGTAACAATAGTGCATCAACTTGTAGAGGGTGTGTACCAAT